TGTGTGTTGGGTGTGTGTGTGGTGGTGTGGTGTGTGTGTTGTTGTTGTGTGTTGTGTGGTGTGTGTGTGGTGTGTGGTGGTGTGTGTGTGGGGTGGGGTGTGTGTGTGGTGGTGTGTGTGTGGTGTGGTGTGTGTGTGGTGGTGGTGGTGTGTGGTGTGTGTGGGTGTGTGTGTGGGTGTGGTGTGTGTGTGTGTGTGTGTGTGTGGTTGGGGTGTGTGTGTGGGTGTGTGGGTTGTGTGTGTGTGTGGGTGTGTGTGTGGTGTGGTGTGGTGTGGTGTGTGTGTGTGGTGGGGTGGTGTGGGGTGTGTGGTGTTGTGTGGGTGTGTGTGGGGGTGGGGTGGTGTGTGTGGTGTGGGTGTGTGTGTGGTGTGTGTGTGGGTGTGTGTGGTGGGTGTGTGTGTGGTGTGTGTGTGGTGTGTGTGTGTGTGTGGGTGTGGTGGGGTGGTGTGTGGTGTGTGTGGTGTGGTGTGGTGTGTGGGCGTGTGTGGTGGTGTGTGTGGTGTGTGTGGGTTGTGTGTGGTGTGTGTGGGTGTGTTGTGTGGTGGGGTGTGTGGGTGTGTGTGTGGTGTGTGGTGGTGTGGTGTGGTGGTTGTGGTGTGTGTGTGTGTGTGTGTGTGGTGTGTGGTGTGTGGTGTGTGTGTGGTGGTGTGTGGTGTGTGTGTGTGTGTGTGTGTGTGTGTGTGTGTGTGTGTTGTGTGTGTGTGTGGTGTGTGTGTGTGTTGGGACTCACCTATTTGTACTTACCTATTTGTGGTTGCAGGGGTCGAGTCACAGCTCGTGGACCCGCCTCTTCGCTGATTCCTACCAGGTCCTCTCTCTCCCTGCCCCATGAGCTCTATCATACCTCGCCTTAAAACTATGTATGGTTCCCGCCTCCACTACGTCACTTTCTAGGCTATTCCACGGCCTGACTACTCTATGACTGAAGAAATACTGTGTGTGTGTGTCGTACCGAATAGGCAAAATTGGTCAATTAGCAAGAACTCATCCAAAATCAAATCCTTTCCAAAATTTTCCCTTATACATCTAAAGATATATTTTTTCATTTACGTTAATATAAAAATTAAAAATTTTGTACCAAAAGAACCTTAGAAAACTCACCCAACCCCACTACAACAAGCGCAATTTAATCTAGCCTAATCCAACTAAATATACAGTTGGATAAGTTTACATTTATTAATAATAAACAAACACAATGAAATACATTTTTTTTCGTCAGGTTCAGAATGATCTCTGCGAAACTATTGCATACACAAATTTTTGTAGGCAATAATTTAGCAAAATTCATTCTTATAAATCTCACTCAAAAATTTGCAGTTATTTTCAGCAAATTTGTTTCATAAAAACCTCACCTTCACTTTCACTGACTCTCTCTTTGCACTCTCTTATTGCTCTTTACATCTCCTTTATTCTCCATATCTTCCAACCTGTGTGTGTGATTGTGTGTGTGATTGTGTGATTGTGTGTGTGATTGTGTGTGTGTGATTGTGTGTGTGATTGTGTGTGTGTGATTGTGTGTGTGTGTGTGATTGTGTGTGGTGTGTGGTGATTGTTGTGTGTGTGTGTGTGTGTGTGATTGTGTGTGTGTGTTGTGTGATTGTGTGTGTGTTGTGTGTGATTGTGTGTGTGTGTGTGTGATTGTGTGTGTGTGTGTGTGTGATTGTGTGGTGTGTGTGTGTGTAATTGTGTGTGTGTGTGTGTGTGTGTGTGTGTGTGTGTGTGTGTGTGTGTGTGTGTGTGATTGTGTGTGTGTGATTGTGTGTGATTGTTGTGTGTGATTGTGTGTTGTGTGTGTGTGATTGTGTGTGTGTGTGTGTGTGATTGTGTGTGTGTGTGTGATTGTTGTGTGTTGTGTGATTGTGTGTGTGTGATTGTGTGTGTTGTGTGTGTGTGTGTGTGTGTGTGTGATTGTGTGTGTGTGATTTGTGTGTTGTGTGTGTGGGTTGTGTGTGTGGTTGTGTGTGTGGTTGTGTGTGTGTGTGTGTGTGTGTGTGTGTGTGTGTGCGTATGCGTGTGTTGTGATTGCGTGTGTGTGTGTGATTGTGTGTGTGTGTGGTGTGATTGTGTGTGTGTGATTGTGTGTGTGTGTTGTGTGTGTGTGTGTGTGTGTGTGTGTGTGTGGTGTTGTGTGTTGTGTGTGTGTGTGTGTGTGTGTGATTGTATGTGTGTGATTGTATGTGGTGATTGTTGTGTGTGTGAGATTGTGTGTGTGTGTGAGTTGTGTGTTTGTGTGGTTGTGTAGTGTGTGGAGATTGTGTGTGTGTGAGATTGTATGAGTGTGAGATTGTGTGTGTGTGTGTTGTGAGATTGTGTGTGTGTGTGTGAGATTGTGTGATTGTGTGTGTGTGAGATTGTGTGTGTGTGAGATTGTGTGTGTGTGAGATTGTGTACTCACC